GACCCGTACGTCCACAGTACCGTGGTGGCGCAGTGCGCGTTGCAGGTGGGGTCCCCGCTCGGGGCCCTCCCGCAGTGAGCTGCCGCCTCCCATGCCGAGGGGGAGAAGATCCCAGAGATCCGACCCGACGCTCCCCCCCCCTTCGTCCTCCTCCTCCTCCTCACGACCTCCTCCTCCTCCTCCTCCTCCTCCTCCTCTCACGACCTCCTCCTCTCTCACGACCTCCTCCTCCTCTCACGACCTCCTCCTCCTCCCTCTCCTCCTCCTCCTCCTCCTCCTCTCCTCCTCCTCCTCACGACCTCCTCCCCCTCCTCCTCCTCCTCATATTGGAGCGGGCGGTTTTGGTGTGTTTTCTGCCTCTGGTGGCCCTCACTGGGCCTCGGGACCGTCAACAAGCGGCTCGGGATGAAAAGCCGACCCCAGGGAAGTGGTGCAAACCTTCACGGCCCACGCATCGAAACAATGGGAGCAGCCGGATGTCCTGGGAGTCGAGCACGGGACCGACTCCAGATGTAGACTTGATGTATCTCATAATTCCCCACATGTTTCGTGGTGTTCTGGTTTTCTTCCCTGCCGCGGCGCACCCGCGTCTCCTCACCTCCCCTCCTCCCTCTTCTTCATCTCCTCACCCGCGCTCAACCCATGCACGGCAAGTACATGACACACGCGTCTATCTACAGCCGCACGCATGCACACATTCGCACACGACACACACACACACACACACACACACACACACACACACACACACACACACACACACACACACACACACACACACACACACACACACACACACACACACACACACACACACACACACACACACACACACCCACACACACACACACACACACACACACACACACACACACACACACACACACACACACACACACACACACACGACTCACACCATACAACGCTAGTGCGCGCCTGGCGTGTTCACTGCATCAGAGCTAGGCGTGGCACTCCCTCGACACCAGAGGGGGTGCGCTGGGGGTGGGGGCCCTATGCGTTTCGGGCTCGCAAAGCGTGGCAGGCGTGGCACTTCCTCGACGCCACAGGGGGTGCGCTGGGGGTGGGGGCCCTATGCGTTTCGGGCTCGCAAAGCGTGGCAGGCGTGGCACTTCCTCGACGCCACAGGGGGTGCGCTGGGGTGTGGGGGCCACCGCGGTCTCTATACGCGCCAATGTCGCAGGGCCTGCAGGCGTGGCACTTCCTCGACGCCACAGGGGGTGCGCTGGGGGTGGGGGCCCACCGCGGTCTCTATACGCGCCAATGTCGCAGGGCCTAGCAGGCGTGGCACTTCCTCGACGCCACAGGGGGTGCGCTGGGGGTGGGGGCCCACCGCGGTCTCTATACGCGCCAATGTCGCAGGGCCTAGCAGGCGTGGCATTTCCTCGACGCCACAGGGGTGCGCTGGGGGTGGGGGCCCACCGCGGTCTCTATACGCGCCAATGTCGCAGGGCCTAGCAGGCGTGGCATTTCCTCGACGCCACAGGGGGTGCGCTGGGGGTGGGGGCCCACCGCGGTCTCTATACGCGCCAATGTCGCAGGGCCTAGCAGGCGTGGCAATTTCCTCGACGCCACAGGGGGTGCGTGGGGGTGGGGGCCCACCGCGGTCTCTATACGCGCCAATGTCACAGGGCCTAGCAGGCGCGGCACCTTCTCGACGCCACAGGGGTGCGCTGGGGGTGGGGGCCCACCGCGGTCTCTATACGCGCCAATGTCGCAGGGCCTAGCAGGCGTGGCACTTCCTCGACGCCACAGGGTGTGCGCTGGGGGTGGGGGCCCACCGCGGTCTCTATACGCGCCAATGTCGCAGGGCCAAGCAGGCGTTGCACTTTCTCGACACCGGAGGGGGTGCGCTGGGGGTGGGAGCCCACCGCGGTCTCTATACGCGCCAATGTCGCAGGGCCTAGCAGGCGTGGCACTTTCTCGACGCCAGAGGGGTGCGTTGCAAGCTCCCAGGGCGTGGCAGGCGTGGCATTTCCTCGACGCCACCGGGGGTGCGCTGGGGGTGGGGGCCCTGTGCGCTGCAGGCTCCCAGGGCGTGGCAGGCGTGGCATTCCCTCGACGCCACAGGGGGTGCGTTGGGGGTGGGAACTTATGTCTTGTCGAGATCTGTAAACACGTTGGCTCAAGCCGGCTCGGCGCGCCTGCGCTGTCACGCAGGCGCGCTCCTGTAGTCCTAGTTCAAAGCACCGCCCGACCTGCGCGGCAGCCATGCCCCCCAAAATCGCCGTGGATGCGCTGCCACCTCCATGTTTGGCGATGGAGACTGCAATGGTTCAGATGGGCGGCGAGGGTATGCGAACACACGCGACTTAAATTAGGTATGTGGGGTTTTTCGGTAGCGTAATTGTTTTTTCCGGTCGAAGCGCTGGCACATACGCAGAAGGTTGGTGGGCTTACGACCCGACGAGAGAGTCAAATCAAGGGGGAATCTTTTCTGTAGTCGATTCCCTAGTCGACAGAGGGGAGGCTAAGGAGGAGTTTTGAATTCGGAAGAAGGAGGGAGCAGCAGGAGGACGATAAGAAGGAGGATGGCCACTGCAATCCCAAAACGCACAAGCGGTGCTGCAATAACCCATCACTCCAAGTCCCCTCGTCAATGGCCCCTACTAAAGTGTATGTTCAAGCTGGGTATCCTCAATCGTGCCAAAACGCAATGCCTTGGATTTCAGCGCCGCGAGTGAGCGCGACTGTCGCGTCTTGACAATCCTGAGTCGTGCCAGGACACCACTCTTGGGACGTTAACACCGCGAATCAACGTGACTGTTGCGTCTTAGAAATCTTGGATTGTGCCAAAAAAGATTCCTAGGACTTCAACCATACGAGTCCTTGAAGCCGCTACGAGTTGTCAAGGCGAATGTGCGCAGCGCTCAAGCGGGAACCGCATTTTGATAGGAGCCGCCCTCCAACTACTGCAAACTGAAAATGCCAAAGATGTGCAGCCACATCTTGGCAACGACCGCCATCCATGCGTGACATTCTCCTGGACGTTTAAGGCTAGTGCGCGCGACGCTGAGGCAATAACGACATTTTGAAAACGACGCGCCCTCCATCTGTGAAGCGGTTGCAATGTTTTAGAACGACCGCACGCGGCGCTAAGTCGACCGTCTCATTTTGAAAATGGCCCGCCCTCCGTGTGTGAAGTTGTCGCATACTTCATGTTTCAGGGTCATAATTGATTAGGAAGACTCAGGCGAAACGCCCGGCCCTCCCTACCGACACGTCTCTGTGTGTGTGACATGGAGGAGTTTTTTATATGAAGAGGGGCGTATGGTGACGATGCTGCTGACGATGATGGAGCTGACGGTGGCGGTGCCTGTGGTGGTGATGTTGGTGTTTTTGGGTATGACGATAGTGGCGGTAATGGTGGGGATGCCGATGGTAGTGATGATGGTGCTGACGTAACCCCTTGGTGCTGATGGTGAAACGTGAAGATGGTGGTGATGACGATGGTGCTGACTACGATGATGTTGATGTTGGCGATGCTGGCAATGGTGATGGTGGTGATGATAATCATGGTGATGGTGATGAGGGTGATGATCATGCTGATGTGACGATGACGGTTTTGATGATCATGTTGATGGTAGTGATGGTGATAATACTGGTTTTGATGGTGTTGATGTTGGTATTGATGTTGATGGTGGTGATGGTGATGATGATGGTGTTGATGCACTTGTTGATGCGGATGCTGATGCTGATGGCGATTACTGGAATGAAGATGTTGGTATTGACGATGATGCCGACGTGGATGCGTAGTAATGATGATGTCCATGATGATACTGCTGATGATGCTGATGATGATGATGCTGATGATGACGACGGTGATGATGATGATGCTGGTGATGTTGATTGTGGTAATGGTGATGATGATGCTGATGATGGTGATGCTTATGATGCTCATGCTGCTGATGATGATGATGATGATGATGCTGATGCTGTTGCGGATGATGCCGCTGCTGATGATGTTAGTTCTTCACGCTTCGCGTATCCCCACCAGCCCATCTCAAAACAGCAAGTCTTGCGAAGCATGCCGACAGTCGTGTTTTTCAGGCGTGTTTCCGCCTGCCCCCGCATATCTCCCCTGTTCCTCCTTCCTCCCGCCTCCTTGTACATCCTCCTTGTGGTGGGAGCGGGAGAAGGACGAGGCGGAGGAGGAGGGAGAGAAAGCGGTGGGAGGCAAGAGGGATTTAGCGGAGACGACGACCACAGCGATGATCCTAACAACGACGACGCACCCGACGACGACGACGATATCGACCGCGACGACGACGACGACCACAACCGCGACGACGACGACGACGACGTCGACGACGACGACGACGAAGGCGGCGGCGACGACGACGACGACGACGACGACGACGACGACGACTGGTGGGAGTCGTTGGGGCCCCTCGTGGGGTGAGTCGTTCGGCCCCATCGTCCTTGTGTGAGTCCTTCGGGCCCCTCTTCCTGGTGTGAGTCGTTCGGGCTCCTCGTGGTGTGAGTCGTTCGGGCCCCTGGTCCTGGTGCGAGCCGTTCGGGCTCCTCGTGGTTTGAGTCGTTCGGGCCTCTCGTCCTGGTGTGAGTCGTTCGGGCCCTTCTTCCTGGTGTGAGTCGTTCGGGCTCTTCGTGGTTTGAGTCGTTCGGGCTCTTCGTCCTGGTGTGAGTCGTTCGGGCTTCTCGTGGTGTGAGTTGTTCGGGCCCCTCGTCCTGGTGTGAGTCGTTCGGGCCCCTCCTCCTGGTGTGAGTCGTTCGGGCTCCTCGTGGTGTGAGTCGTTCGGGGCCCTCGTCCTGGTGTGAGTCGTTCGGGCTCCTCCTGGTGTGAGTCGTTCGGGCTCTTCGTGGTGTGAGTCGTTCGGGCCCCTCGTCCTGGTGTGAGTCGTTCGGGCTCCTCGTGGTGTGAGGCGTTCGGGCACCTCGTCCTGGTGCGAGTCGTTCGGTCCCCTCGTAGTAGTAGTAGTAGTAGTAGTAGTAGTAGTAGTAGTAGTAGTAGTAGTAGTAGTAGTAGTAGTAGTAGTAGTAGTAGTAGTAGTAGTAGTAGTAGTAGTAGTAGTAGTAGTAGTAGTAGTAGTAGTAGTAGTAGTAGTAGTAGTAGTAGTAGTAGTAGTAGTAGTAGTAGTAGTAGTAGTCAGTAGTAGTAGTAGTAGTAGTAGTAGTAGTAGTAGTAGTAGTAGTAGTAGTAGTAGTAGTAGTAGTAGTACTAGTAGTAGTTAGTAGTAGTAGTAGTAGTAGTAGTAGTAGTAGTAGTAGTAGTAGTAGTAGTAGTAGTAGTAGTCGTAGTAGTAGTAGTAGTAGTAGTAGTAGTAGTAGTAGTAGTAGTAGTAGTAGTAGTAGTAGTAGTAGTAGTAGTAGTAGTAGTAGTAGTAGTAGTAGTCGTAGTTCCGTAGTTGTGTAGTAGTCTATAGTCGTAGTCGTAGTAGTAGTAAGTAGTAGAGTAGTAGTAGTAGTAGTAGTAGTAGTAGTAGTAGTAGTAGTAGTAGTAGTAGTAGTCTAGTTAGTAGTAGTAGTAGTAGTAGTAGTAGTAGTAGTAGTAGTAGTAGTAGTAGTAGTAGTAGTAGTAGTAGTAGTAGTAGTAGTAGTGTAGTAGTAGTAGTTAGTAGTAGTAGTAGTAGTAGTAGTAGTAGTAGTAGTAGTAGTAGTAGTAGTAGTAGTAGTAGTAGTAGTAGTAGTAGTAGTAGTAGTAGTAGTAGTAGTAGTAGTAGTAGTAGTAGTAGTAGTAGTAGTAGTAGTAGTAGTAGTAGTAGTAGTAGTAGTAGTAGTAGTACAAGTAGTCGTATCCAAGGCAGTTTGGAGGCCTCTTGGAGATCGTAGAGGGGCCTCTTGGGCTCTCTTTTGAGCCTCTTGGGAGCGTCCGGGGGCCCTCTTGGGCGCCTCTTGGAGCGTCTTGGGGGCCTGTTGGGGCCATCTTTGGGGCGATCGATCACAGATGGGGCGAGCATTTTTGTCAGTACCCCCGTCGGGGCCACGATCCTCGTGAGGGGTGTCGAATTTTAGCCCTCCCAGGGATAGAAAAAGGACCCTCTGACCACCCGCGAAACCCCCTCTCCAGGTCCAGGGGGAGGGGGTAGGGGGAGGGGTAAACCCCTCCCCGAAGGGGAAGAAGGGGGGTTGAGAACAGAGAGAGCTCGCTAAACCACTCACGCCCAAAGGGCTGGTGGGATTATGGTGCTGGTGATCACTCATATGATGTTGGTGGTGATGCTGTTGGTGGCGATGGTAACAACGAGTACGTACGCCTACCATTCCCCACACAGTGCTGACATTCAGGGCTTCTGCCTGTTCGTCTAAGGTACATGAGCCAGAGAGGCGGTCCGGGCGGCATGCTGCCGCCCGCCGCCGCCCGTCGACACCGCCAGCGCCGCTGGTAATTGAGCCTGAGTGTCAGTCCGCGCAGCAGGTTGCCGACCGTAGCCGTCGCCGCCACCGTCGCCGCCTCCGTCGCTGCGCATCGCTCTGCATAGGCTTGCATTGTTTTGCGTGGCTTTGCGGTGCATTGCGCTGCACGGCGTTGCATTACATTGCAGTGCACTGCATTGCTTGGCATGGCTTTTCATTGTTTTGCATCGGTTTGCATTGGGTTGCAGTGTTCTGCCTTGCTTTGTTTTGGTGTGCATTGCGTTGCATTGCTTTGCATTGGCCTGCATGGCGTCGTATCGGTTTGCGTTCCTTTGCCTTTGTTGGTTCCCAACCAACTTGTGGTGTTGGGTCCTAGTTGTTGAGAGACAGCGCCCCGCATTCCTCACCCATCACTCCTTCCTCCTTCCTCCCCTCTCTCCTCCACTTCCTGCCTCTGCCCTCCGCATGCCCATGTCGGCACACCCCACACACGTTTCGTGGCCCCATAGAGAGCGCCACCTGAGGCCCCAGGGGGAGGATTCCCATGGCACCACCGCTTCGTGGCCCCTTGGGGACACCTAAGGCCCCGGTGGGAGGGTTCGCATGGCACCGCCGCCCCAGTTCGCCACAACCCTCACACGCTTCGTTGCCCCTTGGGGAGCTCCACCTAAGGCCCCAGTTGGAGGGTTCGCATGGCACCGCTGCGCCAGTTCGCCACACCCCTCACACGCTTCGTGGCCCCGTAGGAGCTCCACCTGAGGCCCCAGTGGGAGGGTTCGCATGGCACCGCCGCCCCAGTTCGCCGGAACCCACACACGTTTCTTGGCCCCATGGGTAGCTCCACCTGAGGCGCCAGTGGGAGGGTTCGCATGGCACCGCCGGCCAATGTCGACAAACCCCTCACCCGCTTCGTGGCTCCGTGGGAAGTTCCACATAAGGTCGCAGTGGGAGAGTTCGCATAGCACCGCAGCCCCTTTTCGCCACAACCCTCACACGCTTCGTAGCCCCATGGGGAGCTCCACCTGATGCCCCAGTGGGAGGGTTCACATGGCACCGCCGCCTTATTCGGGCGCACCCCACACACGCTTCGTGGCCCCTTGGGGAGCTCCACCTGAGGCTCCAGTGGGAGGGTTCGCATGGCACCGCCGCCCCAGTTCGGCACAACCCACACACGCTTCGTGGCCCCCATTGGGAGCTCCACCTGAGGCGCCAGTGGGAGGGTTCGCATGGTACCGCAGCCCCTTTTCGCCACAATCCTTCACACGCATCTTGGCCTCATATGGAACTCTACCGAAGGCCCCAGTGGGAGGGTTCGCATGGCACCGCCGCCCAATGTCGGCACACCCCTCACACGCTTCGTGGCTCCGTGGGAAGTTCCACATAAGGTCGCAGTGGGAGGGTTCGCATAGCACCGCCGCCCCTTTTCGCCACAACCCTCACAAGCTTCGTAGCCCCATGGGGAGCTCCACCTGAAGCCCCAGTGGGAGGGTTCGCACGACACCGCCGCTCCATGTCGGCACACGCTTCTCACGCTGCGTGGACCCATAGGGAGCTCCACCTGAGGCCCCAGTGGGAGGGTTCGCATGGCACCGCCGCCCAATGTCGGCACACCCCTCACACGCTTCGTGGCCCCACAGGACGCTCCGCCTGAGGCCCTCGTGGGCGGGTTCGCATAGCACCGCCGTCCCATTTCGGCACACTGCCCACCCGCATGGCGGCCCCGCCCCATCTCGGCATACCCTTCACACGCTTCGCGGCCCCATGAGGAGATCCACCGAAGGCGATACGCACAACGACGGCACCCACAACTGCGCCTGGTTGAGTTATTCGCCATGAGCTGTTTGGTTTGTATTGCGTTGATTTCCTCTGCGTTGTAGGGCTTTGCGTTGCATGGCTTTGCATTGCATTGCTTTGAACGGCTTTGCATTGTCTTGCATTGCTTGGCATTGGTTTGCATTGCTGTGCATTGTTTTGAAGTGCTGTGCATTGCTTTTCTTTGCACTGCTGCGCATTGCTGTGCATTGCTTTGCACACAGCTTGCACCATGTTGAATGCACCACCTAGGTTGCACCACCTAGATTGAGTCGCATAGACGGCACGAATTCACAGTTTGTGATCCGCGCTGGCTAACATTATGCTGATGCGAGGAGGAGGAAGATGAGGAGCAGGAGCTGCAGGAGGAGGAAGATGAGGAGGAGGAGAAGCAAGAGGTGGGGGAGGAGCAGCAGGAGGATTGTGGAGGGGAGGGCGAGGCGGAGTCGAGGGAGGAACTCCTTCATCTCATCCTCCTCCTGAGGAGCTAGATGATGATGAGGAGGAGGACGAGGTGGTGGGAATACGAGGAAGGGTTGGGTGAGAAACAGAAGGACGAGGAGGAGGACAAGAAGGAGGACAAGGAGGATGATGATGAGGAGGAGGAGGAGGACAGGAGGAAGACGAGGAGGGGGGGAGGACGAGGAGGAGGAGGCGGAGGAAGATCTCGTCCGTCGATCTCCCTCTCCTCCCAGGGAAGCCCACTCCTCTTGGTTGGTGTGTCACCTTGTAACACCTGCTCAGCCCACAGGGGTTGAGCTGGGTGTGGCTGCGTTCGACGAGCCCTATAGCCATCAGGAAGCAGGAGCCAGGAGGAAGATAAAGAGGAGGAGGAGGAGGAGGAGGAGGAGCAGGAGGAGGAGGATTGAGAGAAGGAGGAGGAGAAGGAGGGCGAGGAGGAGGAGAAGGAGGAGGAGGAGGAGGAGGAGGAGGAGGAGGAGGGGAGGCGACAGCAGCAGCAGCAGCAGCAGGAGCAGGGGACGGTCGAGGAGGAGGAGGAGGACGAGGAGGAGGACGAGGACGAGGAGGGGCGTGATGTGGGGGAGGACGCTCTGTGGGGAGGGCGACCAGGGCCCCCCTCTTGGTGCAGGTGGGCGACGAGATCGCCTTCAACGTGCACGTCAGCAGCCGGGGCATGCCGCAGGTCTCCGCGCCCTGCTGGCGGAGGGCGCGCCCGGGCGGCGACGAGCCGGGAGAGCCGCCGCCGAAGCGCGCCCGTGTGGGCTATGCGCCGCCGTCGGGCGCGGCGCTCGGGCAGTGCCAAGCGGGAGCTTGAGTCCTTGGTATCGCTCGGACGTGTGCACTTTTTCTCGGCGGGGGTTGTTAAGGAGCATCCTGGACCATCCTGGGAGAAAAAGCCACGCACGACGCCGAAAAAAGCGCAGGGAATGGACGTCCGAGCGATGGCCAGTGAGGCAACGAAAACAACGATAACTTCGGCAGCCCACGGATACGACCGTCCTGGCCCCTGCGATCGCCGTCTCTGCGTTTCGGCGAGCTCGATGGGGCAACCACGTAGAGGGCAGCTCTTCCCAGTTATACTTGTCTCGAGAGGGTTTGGCCACTGGCCTTCATTCTCTCGCTGCATCGAAGTCATCGAAAAGATCTTGTGAACGTTTTCTTATTCGTTGTTTCGTCGATCGGCGCGGGTCCTCGCACACGCACAGCCTCCCCCTCCCCCCCTCCCCCCCGGAGTAGATCTTGGCTGTTTTTGGCGCCTGTTTCGAGCAGGCGGGGTCCCTTCCTCATAGGACGCACTGCTGCAAACAGTCGCACTAAGCAGAGGTCCAGAGCCACACCCCCCCCCTCCCACCTTCCGCCCAATGTCGAAACGCCGAATAAGAAACGCTCACAAGGATAACTCGGTAACAACTCATGGGGGCCTGGTGTACCCTCTGAATTCCGTCTTCAGCGTCGGCTGGCGTCGAGGAGCGTTTGGGAGTCGGTGAGGCAGCGCCGATGTAGCGTCGGCTAGCGTAGATGAGCGTCGATGTAGCGTCGATTAGCGTCGAATCGCAAGAGCCGACAAGATGGTATGGGAGGCCCCCACGGGTTGCCACCGAAGCGATAACAACGATCAATGCAATACTCCTGCTGTGCTCGATGGTACCGTAGGGAGCGGTGTTAACGTTGTCGTTGTTATCGCTGTCATCGTTGTGATCATTCACCGTCGGTCGTCCAACATATGCGTTTTTGCATGCCCAAGTCAGGGCTGAACCTAAAAGGTGTTTTTCGTTTTCGTTTTGTTTTCGTTTTCCCTAGTTTTGTCTTCAATCCGCCTTTCACGCAAAACGGAATAGAAACGAAAAGGCCCACGAAATCGCCCAAACACCGTTTAGGTCCACCCCTGGCCCAAGTCCCAGTCTACTTTGGGCGCCTTCCTGCCTCAAGAGTGGAGTGGCTCCCTCCTCCCTTCGTCCTCCTGGGGCGGGCGGAAGCCAATCTGCTTACAACCAAGGGGAGGAAAACCCACCCGGACCGGACAATTGGCGTTTAATGAACGGCCTTGGGCGTTTACTAGACAGACCTGCCCTGTTCGATTCCTTCAGTGGATGGGGTTTAGTGAACGGCTCCGCGTGTCGGGGTGGTTACTATGGGGGTGGATTTCTTGCCCTCTGCTCCTGCCTCAAGAGTGGAGTGTTCTTCCTCCTCCCTTCGTCCTTCGTCCTCTGCAGCACAGGACGTCGGGCCAGGCCACGAAGACCCATCTGGAGTGCAGGAGGGGGGGAGGAGGGGGAGGAGGGGGAGGAGGAGGAGGAGGAGGAGGAGGAGGAGGAGGAGGAGGTGCAGGAACATTCAAAACTGGAGCGGAAGCCAACCTGCTTACACGACGCCCTTTTGTACCCGCTTCCTCCGACCGACGGGCCTCGCGCCCGGCCACTCGGCCGGCCCTCCGCCGCCCAGCCCCTCGGTTGCCTCCTCCTCCTGCCGTGTTGATGTCTTGTTCTGTTGCCGCCTGCTGTCCGACGGCTGCTCAACTCAGAGGAGGAAGAGGTACCCATACCTCTACCCTCCCCCCGTTTTCCCCTCTTTGGGCCCCCTGGGAGGCCCTCGGAGGTGGATAGGCCTCCTACCCTGACACGTCGACCAGTGAATTAGCCGTTTTCGGTTCGCGAGAGGGCGTCGCGGCCGTCATTTTTGCGGGTTCAGGTCCGTCGGTTTCGGTCCCAGGCCGTTTTCAATAAGGGGAGGTTTACTAAAGGGAGGTTTATCCACCGCCGAACCTCTGCCCTCCCCCCGTTTTCCCCTCTTTGGGCCCCCTGGAAGACCCTCGTCGCCACCGCTGGATTCGCCCCGAAGTCCTGGTCAGAACGCACCCTGGGAGAGGTCCGGGGAGTAGCGGTATCGGTACCTTTTGGTTTCCCCATCGACGGGGGTCGATGCAACCGGGGTCAGCCAGAGCGCCAGATCTTGCATGATCCTGCAGCGCCAGGGTTGCACCGGCCCGGGTCATAGCGCGCAGAATCCTGCACGGTTTTGCAGGATGCTGCGAAACCCGCTGGCCCGGGCTTGCATTGACCAGAGTCAGTGCGTAGGCCCATGGGGTTCACCACTACAGCGAAAACCAGTCCACCAGAAACCCATCGCAAGAAACAGCCCTGGCAAACGCCGACGTTTCTTGTGCCGGGTTTGGGATTCTCGCGTAGCGGCTGCCAGCAAAGCAATTCAGGGTATTGGTGGCTCGCGCAAGCCAGCTCAGCGTAAAGACACTCAGGGTGCCCCGCAAGCTGCGGTTTTCGCGCGACCGCTGCAAGCCTTCAGCGAGAACACAAACCAAATAAACCCAAGGACCCAAGGTACCCTGCCAAACGTACGGTGATTCCTGGCACGGGCTCCCATTGCAGTGGGATCACCAGCCCTTCCCTTGGTATTGTTCGGACATGTGCGTTTTGTTTTCGGCGAGGACCATCGAGGATCATCCTTGACCATCCTGGCTGAGAATTGCATGCGCGACGTCATCAAAAAGCAGTGGGAATGGGCGTCCGAGCGATGGCCAGTTCTTGGACATCCGGGCTGCTTTTGTGGCACCTCTTCTGTGGCACCTCTTGGGGCCGCCCTGGGAGCCTCCAGGGCCCCTTCTCGGAGCCTCGGGGGCTGCTTGGGGGCCCTGCCTGGGGGCCTCCTGGGCCGCCGTGGGCGCTCTCGAGCCCGCTTGGGCCCTCGCGGGCCTCTTGGGGCCCCCGTGGGCGCTACAGGACCGCAAATCGGGGCTGCTCTTGATGGGCCTGCTTTCCACCCCCAGCGCCACAAGTGGGAGGGGGGAAGGAGGTGGAGGAGGAGGAGGAGGAGGAGGAAGAGGAAGAGGAGGAGGAGGAGGAGGAGGAGGAGGAGGAGGAGGAGGAGGAGGAGGAGGAGGAGGAGGAGGAGAAAAGGAGGAGGAGGAGGAGGAGGAGGAGGAGGAGGACATCCTTCCCCCTCCTGCTTGTGGTGGTGGCGGCGGCAAGCGAGCGCACCAGCTCTGGGGCGTCTGGGGTGGCCGTCTCGGGACGCCCCGTGGTGCTCTCTCTCTCTCTCTCATTCTCGGGAGGCCCGCCGCCTCGAGGCGAGGGCGCCTCCTCCCTGGCAGGTGGTGCCGCCCCCCCCCCTCCCCTGCAGGGCTCGTTTCGATTTTCGATGAGCGTGTTCTATTACTCGCAAAGCAGCTGCTCGCCACTGGCCTGCATCCCCCGCGGGGGATCTGCGATAGATTATACCGAAGCAGACAGGTGTTTTCCGGACGTTTGCGAGTAGGCACTTTGCGAGCAGTGGAACGCGCTCGGCGAGATGATTCCACCGATTCGATTCGATTCGACTTCGATGGCTTCCGAACTCCGATTCGATTCGACCTGGGATTTCGACGTGGGCTCCGAGTTCTTACTGGAGGCCTATTAGCCTGCCGATCTCGGCCGATCCGACTTCTCCCGACTCGGCCGCCGATTTCCGCCGATCCGACTCGTTTCGATCGCCGATCCGACTTCTCGACTCGATTCTGGGCACGCCAGCCCCTGCAGTGGGGGGGGGGGGGCCCGGGCCAAGAAGCACCCTGCCTGCCTCCAGGGTGCCCTGGGGTTTCCTGGGTTGCTGTGACATCGGGGGCGCCAAAGAGGGGGTGATGGCTAGGGGGGGTGGCTATCATGGCGTGGGCCATGGTAGTTCCCCAGATTTCAAGGCGCCTCTTCTTATTTCATTACGTCCCCAGCCCCCCCCCCTGGGCCGCGCACATGCCGCCGGTCATGATGTGCCCCCCCCCCTCTTGGACACCCCCCTCTTGGCCGCTCCCGACGGAAGACGTGACCTTTCCACGCCGGAAATCAATTGGGCATCTTGGGGTCTCAGTGTTGGGTTTCTCGTGGCAGGTGTCTTGGTGGTCGGGCTCCTAAGCTGTAGGTGGTTCGGTGGTGAGCGAGGAGGAGAAGTGCAAAGGTTCGAGGTTCGAGGTTTTTGGGTTCGGCGTTCGAGGTTTTCTGGCGTTTCCGCCGGTCCTCGGTAGCTTTTCTGCCACGGGATGCGTTCCAGCGTCTCCGCCTCGCCGAGAGGCGTCGGGGGGTGCGCAGACTGTCCCGAACTGCCACGGGGGAGCCAAGAGGAGGAGGAGGAGGGGGAAGGAGGAGGAGGAGGAGGAGGAGGAGGAGGAGGAGGAGGAGGAGGAGGAGGAGGAGGAGGGGGGGAAGGAGGAGGAGGAGGAGGAGGCATGCCTTCTCAGAAGGCGGCGGGACGTCTCAGAAACCCTCGCGCCCTCTAAGATTTTTTTGATTTCCTCCGGGAAGCGTAGGATCACTTCTCAGAGGGCCAGGGGATTTCCGAGCGTTCTGGGAAGGCCCGCCCCTTTTCACTTCCTCCCCAGGCTCGCCGCCGAGTGTGGGAGGGAGGAGAAGCGATGCCAACACCACCAGGGGCCCACTTCCAGCGAGGAGGTCCACGATGCCTCCCCGAGCTGGATGCTGGGGACGTCTCGAGCGAGAGGGGGGGACCACACCACCGGGGCGACCCCCCTGGCCTCCTCGCGCCTCCTCGCCGTGCTGGTGTCGGTGTCGCCCTTGTTCCCCGAGCGGTGGTCCACCTCTGCACTGCCCCAGGCGCTGCCAGCGCTGGCGCACGGCCCGTGGGCGGCCAGCGCCAAGGGCTACGGCAAGGGCGCCTGGGTGGAGGCTGCGCTGGGGCCGCGGGGGTACAGTCGGGGCGCCAAAGAAGGAACCCTTCTCGTTGGGAAGGGGCTCGGCGTTCCTTGATTGTTTTACAGTTTGCCTTGGCTTTTCCTTAGGGCTTCCATGGGAGATCGAAGTTTATCTCGTGGGAAAAAGGGGCCTCGTTCCTCATTTAGGGTTCCTTAGGTCAACGCCCCGACTGTAGGGGATGGGCCCAGAGGGCAGCGGTTTCGGACGTGTTCGCGCTCCCAGGCGCTCCCAGGCGCTCCCAGGCGCTCCCAGGCGCTCCCAGGCGCTCCCAGGCGCTCGGACCCGCTCGCTGCCCGTATTCGGAAACTGGAACATGTGCATTACCAGTGGCGGGTTGTTTTTCGATCCCAGGATTTCTTGGGGGTCGAGGACGACGCTAGGGGTGATGTGGTGTATAGTTGTTTCCCCGATGTCCCGGGAAAACAACAACACATGTATACACCAAGGTCCCGTACACACCAGGATCCGCTCTCCAGTGCAAATCCTGATGCAGGGCTGGAAGAAGCGTCGGTGTATAGAGTTAGGCTCCCTGCTTATACGCTCGTTCTGAAGCGTAGCACGTACCGTGCTCAAAACGTCCGTGCTAGCACGCTGCCTGTTGGCCCGGCACCTGCTGGTCCACACGCTGGCGAACGTCTCGCGCCAGACCTACGTTTTCAGTCTACGTGTTGAGCTGCGGGTCAACACGCTGCGTGTTGCGTGTTGCGTATCGGATCAACGCTTTCTGACGTGTTCGGACGTTTCCGTCGGCTCCTGGCGGTTCTCCAAGCTCGGGATGCTTCCGAACAGCTGCGTCTCGCCGAGAGCGTTCCAGGGGTACCCGGATCGTCCCGAACGGCCGCCGGAGAGCCGAGTTATGACACGGTAAGTGTGGGGGACGAAGGAGATCAGGGGCAATGTTAGAGGGATAAGCTCAGGGGGGGATGGTTACCCCCAATCGCCCAGTCATCGCCGCTAGGGGCTTGATATCGAAGAAGAAAAACGGCATAAACATAAAATTTTGGAGCTTCGAACGGATTTCGTGGATCTGCGCCGTGAGCGCCCTGGCGGCGCCTCCAGCGCTGCCCCTGGTGCGTGCGCCTGGAAGGGGGGTCCAGCTCAGATCCAAGAAATCCGCGCGGACCGCCAAGAGCTTGTGCTTGTGCCGTGTTTTTTTGTTTTGTTCCTCTATGATGTCCCACCTTGGGGAACCCAAAAGATACCGATACCGCTACTCCCTGGACGTCTCCTGGGGTGCGTTCTGACCAGGACTTCGAGGTGAATCCCGCGGCAGCGACGAGGGCGTCCCAGGGGACCCGGCAAGGGGAACACGGGCGAGGGGAAGCGCTATGGGTACCTCTTCTTCTTCTGGCACCTTCCCAGGAACATGCCGATTTGCTATCGGGGGCCTGTTGCCGATCCAGCGGACGATGCATCGCCAATTCCAGCTCGCTGTTCCCCCCCCCCACCCTGAGCCAGCACGCCCCTGGCGCTTCGCCTCAGGCCTTTCGGGAGAAGCGGGGGGAGGGCGAGGGGGAGTAAGGAAGCAACGGGGGGCGAAAGTCATGTGTGTGGCTAATGTTTTGTTTTGTTTTTGGGGGCTATTTCTCTCCCTATCTCCTGTCTCTCTCTCTCTCTCTCTCTCTTTCTTTCTCGCCCTCTCTCTCTCTCTCGCTCTCCATTTTTCCTCTCTCTCTCGCTCTCTCTCTCTCTCTCTCCTCTCTCTCTCTCTCTCACTCTTTCCTTTTATTCCTCTGTCTCGCGCCTCTGCCTCTTTTCCTTTCCCTCCGCCTGTTTACATGTTCATATGTATGGTTTTTGTTTCTGACTCTCTCTCTCTCTCTCTTTGCCAAAGCGGGTTTGGGGCTCTGACATCCTTCCTTGGAAACCTGGGGCCGCCTTTGAGAGCGGGGAGACTTCGAAGTCACCCCCTCTCAGGAGTTGGAGGAGGGGCCAGACGACTGCAAGTGAGCCGACGTCATTCCAGCTGGATCCAGGCGAATCCAGCAACAGGCCCCCCCAAATGACAGAGGGGGCGCAGCTCTCCTCCGAGTCCGCGGGTCGCCCGCGGGAGCGCGGAGATGAGCGCACTTCGCGCGCGGCGGTCTGGGCCAGAGCAGCTGCCCTGCTCCAGGGTGGCGGCGCCAGAGCGCGAGGGCACGGAGAGAATCGCTCGTGCCCTCGCGCTCCTCCTCCTCCTCCTCCTTCTCCTCCTCGGGCCCATGCCAAGAAACACCCTGCTTGCCTCCAGGGTGCCCTGGGCTTCTCGGGCTTCGATGGCCTTGACACGGAACGCCTGACGTGCCCGCGCCAAGAACCAATGGGCGTCCGGAGGTCTCGGGGTCGGGTCTCTTGCGGCAGGTTGCTCGTGGATTGGCCTCCACCGTCAGCGCGACCGTCCAGCTTTCACGCCGAGGACCCCACGAGTAGGAGGCCACATGCGAACCCTACCCCTACCCCCCACGATTTCTGAGGGGCAGGGTGGGGTTCACTTCGTTCGGGACCTCCCGAGCGAAGTGACCCCCACCCTCCCCCTCTGAAATCGTGGGGGGTAGGGGTAGGGTTCGCATATGGCCCCCTACCGAGAGAACCGCCGAGGACCGGCTGGAGGAGGCCGCGGAAGAGGTCGCCGAGAAGACCACCAGGAGACCACTGGGGGAGACCGCCGAGGACAGCCGAAGGCCCCGGGAGGAGCGCCCGGGAGCCGCCGAGGACCACCAGGGGCCGGCGGGCACCGAGCAGTTTTCTCGCTTCGGCGCTTTCGATTCGAGTCGGTGTCGATGGCTTCTCCGATGTCGCTTCGACTCGACTCGGGCTTCCGATTCGGGTTCCCATGTCTCGTTGGAGGCATACCAGCCTGCAGGTTCCCGCGTGTTCGACTTTTCCCGACCCGGCCGCCGATTTCCGCCGATCCGATGTATTTCGATCGCCGGTCCGACTTCTCGATTCGATTCTGGGCTCTCCTGACCGAGGGGTCCGTGGTCCAATGCGCAGTCGACCATCCAAACTACAGCACCCCACCTGCGACCCGCCGTGCTGATCTGGTGCGACCCTGCTGCGCACTCGCCCCAGGGATGCCTAAACTTGCAATTACCCTCCATTTTCCTGGGGAAGGTTTTTGGGAAGTTGTTTGGAGGAAGCCACCAAGAACCTTCCTGGGGAAGATGTTTGGAAAGTTTCTTTCCGGAATAATCCTTCCAAGAGACCTTTCTTGGGAGGTTCCTGGAAGGTGTTCGGACAGTGTTTAGAAGATTTGTGGGAAGCGTTTTGGAGGGAACCTTCCGAAACCGCTGGTTCGGAGGCGAGATGCTCACAGTCCAGCCCTCCTAGATGGGGTCGCAGTAGACGGGGTCGACGGATCGCGCCACATCGCCGATGCATCGCCGATGCGGATCGATGTGGGGCCCGATTTGCTTCAAGTCGACGTCGCCGATGCATCGCCCACGTCGACGATGCATCGCCGGCCATCACCGATGCATCGCCGATGCATCGGCGATGCGGCGCGATCCTCCGACCCCATCTACTCCGACCCCATCTGGGATTAAAGTCGAGCCTGTCCCTCTATGGGGAAGATTCAAAAATAGTCAGAAAATAGGCTGGGGACAATTTCTTGAGTATTTTTGACCATTTTGGAATATGTTTGGAGAATGTCTCATTTTTCGCCCAAAATCCCCCTGTAGGGGGACAGGCCCGACCTAAGTCTAGGAGGCCTCTACACAGGCGGGCTGGGTCCGCGCAGGTGCCCTGCACGAAGCTGCACGCCCCCCCCCCCTCCTGGCCGCAGGCTCCGTGGCCGAAGGCCCCCGGCACCGGCGTGCCGAGCTCGTGGGCCAAGGACGGGGTCATGGCGGACTTCGACAAGGAGCCCCGCTGGAGGTGGAGGTCCGAGGCGGGAATTTCTACATGACCACCGCCTGGAGGATCCATTTTCGGGGACCTCGCAGGCGGTGGAGTTGGATATATTCGGGCCCCCGGAGGCCAAAATATGTCCGTATCCACCGCCGGCTGGGGCACCAGGACGTCGGTTCCCAGGCGGTGGATATGGATAAATCCCAGCCTCGCATGGAGGGGAGGGAGGACCAGTGCAAGCCCAGGAGGCGTCAACGATGTTGCAATAACCGAAGAAGAGAAAACGGCATAAACAACGCTTGCAAAGTCTCAAGACGAATCAGCGCGGCGCTCAGACAAGAGCCACGTGTTTAAACCTGCACGCCCTCCATCCGTGAAGCTCTTGCGCACTTTTACAAGACATGCGCGCTGCGCTAAGGCGAAAGCCACATCTTGAGAGCGGCCCGCCCTCGGTCCGCGAAGCTGCTGCAATCTCCAAGCCTCACGACCATAATTACACGGTGAGGAAGTCTTCGGCGGAACGCCCGGCACGCCCTACCGACGCGTCCCGTGATGCTACGGGGAGGAGCTATACATATATCAAGACAAGGGATGGAGCCGTGATAGGGGAGGCGGAGGAGGAGGAGGAGGTGGAGGAGGAGGAGGAGGAGGAGGAGGAGGAGGCACAGCGGACGAGGAGGAGGAGGAGAGAGGAGGAGGAGGAGGAGGAGGGAATGGGAGGATGAGGAGGAGGAGGAGGAGGAGGAGGAGGAGGAGGAGGCGGAAGAGGAGGAGGGAAAGGGGACGGAGGAGGAGGAGGAGGAGGGAGGAGGAGGAGGAGGAAGAAAAGGACAGGACGAGGAGAAGGATGGGAAGGATGAGGAGGAGGAGGAGGAGGAGGAGGAGGAGGAGGGGGAGGAGGAAGAGGAGGAGGAGGAGGAGGAGGAGGAGGAGGAGGAGAAGGAGGAGGAGGAGGAGGAGGAGGAGGGGGAGGTTCCAGGAGGTTCCAGGAACGGGCCACGACAGGCTCAGGGGGTCCCAAGAGGGCCCAAGACGGCCCCAAGAGGCCCCGAAGACGCCCAAGATGCCCTCAAAACGGCCGACGAGGACCCCATTACGCTCCAGGACGGCCTCAAGGACTCCTCAAGAGGGCCCTGGGAGGCAAAAATCAAGTTTTCCGAAGTGTTTTTGGAGGATTTGGGCGTTCTCGCTTTTCCCGCTTCCCAGCGCTCCCTCACCTCACGGCCTCGGAGGCCCCTCAGATCGCTCCAAGACGGCCCACGAGGCTCCGAAGAGGGCCCCAAGACGGCCCAGGAGGCTCCCCAGACAGCTCAAGTGTGCCCCAAGACCGCCCCAAGGGAGGGCCCAGAGGGGGACCAGGCCCCGTGAGGCCCCCAAGAGCCCCCCAGGAAGCCCCAAGAGGCCCCAAGGGGCTTCCAGGGAACGCCCAAGAGGCCCCCCAGCACACTCCAACAAACCATGTCTTCAGAAAGCCTTCGGGGACATGGTTCATCATGGGCTCGAGAGTCTCCAGAGGCTCCGAAGTACCATGACGCTACCGGAGACTTGTCTGGGAAGTTGACTGGGAACATGACTGATCGCCTTCTCTGCCGACGTCTGCCGACGACGACGACGGCTGCGGCGGCGACGAAGACGACGACGAACTTCGAATTCCGACGTTCGAAACGGTTGTTCGGCGCTTTCTGCCTTCGGGAGCCGTTCTCGGCCCTGGGGTCGTCGGGCTTCGATCTGGAGTGGAAAAACTGTGCTGGATGGATCTTGGGAAGGGGTCCATCCGTCGGTCCATCCGACGACGACGACGACGACGAAGATGACGAAACGACGAAGACGCTGACGACGACGACAACGACGGCGCGCCCCAAGAGGCGACGACGACATTACGACGACGACGGCATGCCCCAACAGGCTCCCCAAGACGCCCCCAATAACCATGTTCACAGAAGGCCTTCTGGGAACCCGATTCATCATGCCTCCGCCCCCCTCCCCGAAAGCCTTACGGAATGCAGATTGACATGCGTGGACTTCTCACTGCTCATAGTGCGTTCAGCATGCTGCACGCTTCTTCACTTCTCTTTCAAACCATCTGTGGTCCACTACTTCAGTGGAGCAGTGAATTCGTCAAGGCCTGGGGCCTGCTAGACCCTAATCGTATATATATATATATATATATACATGTATATATATATATATATGTATATGTAGATGCGTAAACATACATACGGAATGGTTCTATTGAATGCGTATACATACATACATGCATACATACATACATATAACAATCATGTGCCTATTCATATGTATATATTTATATAAAAGTATACATGAGCACAACCATCTATACGTATTTGTATGCCAACCCCTATATATGTACACATACACATAAACATCTATAGTCACACACACATGCAAATATGTATATCTGAGGTTGGGGGGTGAGATCGCAGTGGAACGGAGACCCCCAACTGGGAAATCGTTCCGTTTCGGTCGTGTGCGTGCGGGCGAGGCGAAGCTGCGTAAGCGCGCGAGAGGGATGAACCCGCCGTTGCTAGGGCGAAGTCATGACAAATGATTCTCCCCCGTTCGTCCGTCCGTCCCGCGGTGGCTCGCGGTGTCCCGCGGTGTCCCGTGGTGTCCCGTGGTGTCCGCCGTTGCTAGGGCGAAGTCAAGACGAATGATTCTCCCCCGTCCGTCCGTCCGTCTGGCGGTGGCTCGCGGTGGCTCGCGGTGTCCCGTGGTATCCCGTGGTGTCCTGTGGTGTCCCGTGGTGTCCTGTTGAGTGAGATCGATGGTGAAATCGATATTGAGATCGATACTGAGATCGATAGAGCCCGTTTCTTTCTTGCTTGGGGCATGACGGGCGTCATGGCCCCCAGCCCCCCCCCCTCCTATGACGTAACGCTCCCCCCCTTCCAGTGCGCTCCGGGCACTGCCCCCCAGTGCGCTCCGAGCACTGCCGCTGTGCGCATTGGGATCCGCGTAGGTGTCCGCGTAGGAATCCGAATAGGTGTTTGGTCCGCAGTCGTCGTCGTCGTCGTCGTCGTCGTCGTCGTCGTCGTCGTCGTCGTCGTCGTCGTCGCTCGTGGCTTGTCGCTCGTCGCTCATAGTCGTCGTGCGCGCGGGCGCGGCTGAAGCCTGTTTTTTTTATTCCAGGCCGATGAAGGCAATCGTCTAGGGGGGGATGGAGGGGGTCGACGACGTCACGTTTCGCGCCGGCGGCGTTTGGGAATGCCTAGGAATGACGGAGGACGGGTAGCGTCAGCATGTAAGTGGCGATTTGCATCGCACGCCTGTGTACACCACAGTGCCTGCATGCACCACAGCGCCTGTGTACACCACCGCCTACGTACACCACAGCAGCCGCGTGTAACACAGCGTCAGTTTGTGCCACCGTGCCTGCGGGCACAACAGCTCTTGAGCACACCACAGCGCTTGCGTTCACCACATCAGCCGGGTGCAACACAGCACCAGTATACACCACAATGCCTGCGTGCATTGAAGTGCCTGTGTCACGGCGCCTGTGTGCACCACAACAACCGTGTGCAACACAGCACCATTGTTGCATATAGAATGTGAGAGCGAATCCTTTCTGACAAAATGGATCGCTTGTGGATACCACAGGAAACCATATAAGATAATCCTTATGGACAACGGAGCGCCGCTGGAATCTACGTGTCCTCCCGAGTCCGCCCGCATCACCCTAACTCTTCCCTTTGCGTCCAGGAGGTTCCAGCTAAGTTGGCCGCCCGAGAACCAGGTGGGTCGATTCAGGAGACCATTCTGCGGTGCGCGCTGTAGCGCCAACCCGCACGATAGGGGGTAAGGAGGAGGAGGAGGAGGTGGAGGTGGAGGTGGAGGAAAAGGAGGAGGGAGGAGGGAAGAACGTCGCATTCGATTATCAGCAATTTCCTGGCGTGGCGTCTAGTTGTCCGCAGCAGATCCTCACGTACATGCTTCTCTACCTGTCCTATGCACGCAGGTATTGCGGTGTACACCAGCGCTGCGTTGCACGCGGATGCTGTGGTGTACCGGCGCTGTAGTGTACGCAAGCATTGTGGTGTACACAGGCGCTGCGTTGCACACGGTTGTTGCGGTGTACGCAGGCGCTGTGGTATACACGCGCGTTGTGGTGCACGCGAGCGTTGTGGTGTACACAGGCGCAGGGGGGCATATCGCCACCTACATGCTGCTCGCGTCGTCGATGTCGTCGTCGTCGTCGTCGTCGTCGTCGTCGTGATCCTCGTCGTCGTGGTCGTCGTCGTCGTCGCTCGTCGCTCGTCGCGTCGCGCGCGCGGGCGCGGCTGCGGTGCCGGAGCCACACGGCGGGGGGGGGTACGTTATACCCCCCTCTCGCCCCCCCGCCCCCATGACGCACGTCATCGAGAACATAAAGAAACGCGCTCATACTGAGATCGATGTGGTGTCCCGTGGAGTCCCAAAAAGTGAGATCGATAGTGAGATCGAAAGGTGTCCCGTGGTGTCCCGTGGTGTTCCTGTTGAGTGAGATCGATAGTGAGATCGATAGTGAGATCGAGAGGTGCCCCGAGGTGTCCCGTGGTGTCCCGTGGTGTCCCGTTGAGTGAGATCGATAGTGAGATCGATCGTGAGATCGACAGGTGCCCCGTGGTGTCCCGTTGAGTGAGATCGATAGTGAGATCGATCGTGAGATCGACGTGGTGTCCCGAGGTGTCCCGTGGTGTCCCGTGGTGTCCTATGGTGTCCCGTTGAGTGAGATCGATCGTGAGATCGATAGTGAGACCGATAGTGAGATCGACAGGTGTCCCGTGGTGTCCCGTGGTGGCCCGTGGTGTCCCGTCGTGTCCCGTTGAGTGAGATCGATAGTGAGATCGACAAGTGACCCGTGGTGTCCCGTGGTGTCCCAAAAAGTGAGATCGATAGTGAGATCGATTGAGTCAGATGTTGGTTCCCCCCCCCTGGCCTTCCGCCCGCAACCTCCTTGTCACCCGAAGGGTGGTCGTATAGGTGTGTATATTCCTCTTCCTATATTTGTATAAGCC